AAATGTCAACGCTTGTCAAAAATACGAATAACAAATGGTCTTTTATACACACACACACACACACACACACACCACAGGACAACAGACTTTAAAATTGTATAAATATCAAGTGTTAAGAAAGGTCCCTCCTGGTCACGTTCTCTAAGGGTGGAAATTAAATTCCTACTGAGCATTAGCTGAAGAATTAGTTACATGTTCAGCATCTGGCATTATCCTTAAAAAGTTCAAGTAGAATTAGGTTGTTTAGTTCAAGAATAGAAGTTTATTTATATTTTAGTAATTATTTGTCTCATTATGAAGTACCAAAAGTGATGATGAATTCGTGATTGAAAGCTTTAGAGTTTAGAGCGTGTTACCCGACCCATACTGTCCGCTACACTGAGAGGGTGATGGACGAAGCCTGGCAACATAAGGTACAAGATATCGTACTGGTTACTGAATAATTCTTTCCTTATAACTCTCAAAACAATAATGTAAATGAACCTCAATTATGTTAAAAAATCAATATCATGATTGCAAACTGTAAACAAAACTAGGAGAATTGATTAATGGGGAGGGAGGCATCATGCGGCTGGCAGTCCTCAGTAACTCACAAAAGACGTTCACTGTACTGTGTTAGTTGACTACTGCAACCCATCACCTCAGGCTCTCAGTGTTCTTATGGATTACAACCTTGATCTCATGTACTAATTATTGTAACGCATCAACACCGTCTGAGAACATTATCACTCACCAAACTTAACCTAACCCAACCTGACCTAACCCAACCTAACTCAACCTGACCTAACCCATCCAACCTAACCTGACCTAAACCAACCTGACCTAACCTGACCCAACCCAACCTAACCTAACCTGACCTAACCCATCCTAACCTAACCTGACCTAACCCAACCTAACCTAACCTAACCCAACCTAACCTAACCTGACCTAACTCAACTAACCTAACTCCAACCTAACCTAACCACTAACTCCAACCCAACCTAACCTAACCTGACCTAACCTAACCTAACCAATTAAACTTCATACATCCTACTAAAGAAAAAACAGATCGTCGTAATTCATACTTAGCGTGTATATGTACTAAAAATAAAACTAACTTAAGTCCAGGTTACAGCGTCAGAGAAGAGTATTAAAGGCGTCTAATCTTCCACAAAGTACAAGGATCATAAGGATTCAGTTGATAAATGGAATAATGTACAGCCACACTATTCCCCCGTTATTGTCAGAATGAACTTAATCACTCGTGGAGGAGATACAATTACAACCAGGACATACGACTTCCTGCTAAAAGGTGCACTACTTAGCATAATGTGTGTGTGTGTGTTACTATTCTCTCACCAGTACCGGGGGTGGCCTCACTACTGGGGGGAGGGGGGCAGGGTATAAGGTGGGTCACAGTAATATCGATCCAGTGAGGTCAGGCCAGCCGGGAGCGAGGCCAACACAAACCTCTGAGTCCGTATTCTCAAAGGGGAGGGGGGTCGCTGACTTTTCACTCCCCTCATCCCTCCCTCACCCTCATTGTTCTCCTCCTCCTCACCTGCTCTCTACTCCCCTCATTGCCTTCTGTCCCCCTCATGCGACACGGGAACGTAGCCACTTCCGGTAGTCTCATCACCATTTTGACTATTTTAGTTATCGTCAACTAGTTTGTTGGTTAGTTTGATACCCCCACACCTTCAGTCAAGGAGGGAAGGGGGAAAGGAGAGGAGGGGAAGGAGGAAGGGAGGAGTGAAGGAGAGGGGAGGGAAAGGGAGGAGTGAAGGGAGAGGGAGGGAAAGGAGGGGAGCAGAGGGACCTCAGAGAATCACAGCTCAGACATTAGTTGGGCGTCACACTGAGAGGAAGGGAGGCTGACGCCAGCCAGGAGAGGAGGGGAGAGGGTCGGGAGGAATGACGCTGTGAGGGGAGAGTGAGGGGGTGAGAGTGGGAGGGAGGAATGACGCTGTGAGGTGGGATAGACTGGGGAAATGACAGGAGGTGGAAGAGAAGGGAGTGGGACAATGGGAGGGGTGGAGGTAGGAAGCAGCTGACTAAACATGGAGGAAAAGAGGAGTGGAAAGGGAAGCAGATGACGTGGTGGAAAAAAGAACAGATCACAGAGAGGAGTAAGAAGGGAGGGAGGGAAGGAGGGAGGGAGCGAGAGGAGAGGGAGGGAGGGAGGGAGGGAGGAGGGAAGTTGCATGAGAAAACATGAGTTGCTAGGGAGGGTGATGTGGGGAGAGAGAGGATGTGGGGAGAGATGATGTGTGGGGAGAGGGGTGATGTGTGGGGAGAGAGATGATGTGGAGAGGTGTGAGGTAGAGATAGGGTGGTTCGATTACCCATACTAGACTTTATCGACAACCAACAACACGAGAGAGAGAGAGAGAGAGAGAGAGAGAGAGAGAGAGAGAGAGAGAGAGAGAGAGAGAGAGAGAGAGAGACCTGTATATTGACTAGGGTTGACGCACTAGAGCACAGTGTGGGACAAGACAGGGAGGAAAGGGTGCGTGGGGGAGTGTGAAGAGGAGAGGAGAGGAGGTAGGTAGGTGGCGTATGCGAGAGAGAGAGAGAGAGAGGGGGGGGGGGGGGGGGGGGGGGGGGGCCGGAGAATTAAGTTGGGGAGGAGAATAAGAAGGAAGGAAGGAAGGAAGGAAGGAGGGAGGGAGGGAGGGAGGGGAGTATGTAGACAAGATGGAGGCGGAGGAACACGGTGGAACCCCACACATAACAGGAGGGAAAGGAGGGGAGGAGAGCAGAGAGGGAGGGAAAAAGAGGGAAGGAGGGAGGGGAGGGAGAGGTGTGAGAGGAGATGTGGAGGGAGGGAGGGAGGGAGGGGAGGGGGGAGGGAGGGAGTGGTACTTGGGTGTTGTACCAGTCTTCTCAGTACCAGGTCGGCTCCTCAAGGCACAGGTTGCCCACCACCTGCTGTCTCCTTGGTAGTATGGTAACGGTGTTGTTGCTGTTGTTGTTACCATGTTGTTGGTAGTAGTAGTAGTAGTAGTAGTAGTAGTAGTAGTAGTAGTAGTAGTGGTGGGTGGTGGTGGTGGTGGTGGTGGTGGTGGTGGTGGTGGTGATGGTGGTGGGTGGTGGTGGTGGTGGTGGTGGTGGTGGTGGTGGTGGTGGTGTGGTGTGGTGGTGGTGGTGGTGGTGGTGGTGGTGGTGGTGGTGGTGATGGTAGTAGTGGTGGTGGTGGCGGTGGTATGGTGGTGGTGGTGGTGAAGTAGTGGTGGTGGGTGAGATATGGGAGGACTAATTTGTTATTGTTGTGGTTATTGTATTTTCAGTGATGACGATACTGACGTCAACCGGGTAATTGGTGATGGAAGTTAAGGTCGACCATCAGGGTAATACTAATGTCATTCTGGATCTAATTTTCTGTTTTTCTTGGGGGGGAGAGGGGGTAGGAGGAGGAGGGAGGTGGAGGGGAAGGAGGGAGAGTCGGGGGATAGGGAGGGGGGAGGGGGGGAGGAGGGGAGGGGAGAGGAGGTGGAGGGGGGGGGGAGGAGGGAGAGGAGGGGGGAGAGGAGGTAGGAAGGAGGGGGGAGGGGGTTATAAAGGTATCCAGGTAACTATTCTTCACACCTCAAGTCACGAGAGACATTCAACAAACGCATCTGTGTAACTTATGGACTGCGGACTACAGATAGTGAGAGGCCCAGAGGCGGGGGGAGGGGATACAGTGACGACTCTAGCGTACTGGTACTAGCGAGTATGGGCCAGGGAGCAGCCTACCACCTGCAGGCTCAACCCTAGTTACAGATATAGTGAGCCTGTTCTTTAACCTACCTAACCTACTGTAGATACAAGAAAATACAAATGTGTATTGTATTGTATACATGGATACCAGCTCATCAGATGTTGTGTTAAGAGTAGGAGACAGACGGACCATTGCAACGTCGGGGGACAGTAAAGAGGACAGGCGTAGAGGCAGGTGTAGCAACAGGTGTGAGCAACAGGTGTAGAGGCAGGTGTAGAGGCAGGTGTGGCAACAGGTGTAGAGGCAGGTGTAGAGGCAGGTGTAGAGACAGGTGTGAGACAGGTGTAGATACAGGTGTAGAGGCATGTAGCAACAGGTGTAGGGAGGACAGGTGTAGAGGCAGTGTAGCAACAGGTGTAGAGGACAGGTGTAGAGGCAGGTGCAGCAGGTGTAGAGGCAGGTGTAGGCAAGAGGTGTGGCAACAGGTGTAGAGGCAGGTGTGAGGTGCAACAGGTGTAGGGCATGTAGCAACAGGTGTAGAGGCAGGTGTAGCAACAGGTGTAGAGGCAGGTGTGGAGGCAGGTGAAAGTGACAGGTGTAGGAGACAGGTGTAGAGGCAGGTAGATACAGGTGTAGAGACAGGTGTAGCAACAGGTGTAGAGGCAGGTGTAGCAACAGGCGAGAGGCAGGTGTAGAGGCAGTGTGGTGCAACAGGTGTAGAGGCGGTAGCAACAGGTGAGGCAGCGGTGGCAACAGGTGTAGAGGCAGGTGTAGAGGCAGGGTGGTGCAACAGGTGTGGAGGCGAGGTGTAGCAACAGGTGTAGAGGCAGCAGTGTAACAGAGGCAGGCAACAGGTGTAGAGGCAGGTGTAGAGGCAGGTGTGGAACAGGTGTAGGTGTAGTGACAGGTGTAGAGAGACAGGTGTAGAGGCAGGTGTAGGCAGGTGTGTAGATACAGGTGTGGAGACAGGTGTAGCAGACAGGTGTAGAGACAGGTGTAGGACAGGTGTAGAGACAGGTGTGGCAACAGGTGTAGACAGGTGTACTGTAGAGGCAGGTGTAGAGATAGGTGTAGAGACAGGTGTAGATGGGTGTAGAGACAGGTATAGAGACAGGTGTAGAGACAGAGGCAGGTGTAGAGATAGGTAGAGACAGGTGTAGAGGCAGGTGGGAGGCAGGTGTGGCAACAGGTGGAGGCAGGTGTAGAGACAGGTGTAGAGGCAGGCGTAGACAGGCGTAGATGCAGGTGTAGAGACAGGTGTAGAGGCAGGTGTAGAGACAGGTGTAGAGGCACAAAGTATAGATAAGCAAGTACTCACCATTCTTCAGTTCATCCTCACTGCCGTCAGACTCCGCAATAATCGGCAGATCCTGTGAACACAAGACAAGGGGTTTATACACCGTCTCTCTGTCTAAGGTGAGTCAGACATACAAAGATACAACTGCCGGGTTAGAGTTATTCATTCACTAACTAAATCTTCACTTGATGGGGCAAAATTTCCTCCCATGAGAAAAACAGTTATCAGTAAGGTCATGCGAGGTGTACTGATTTTGGGGTACACACACACACACACACACACACACACACACACACACACACACACACACACACACACACATATGCACACACCTGACAACACAAAAAGGAGATTCATTTTAATTCAGTGTAGGCGAGTGAAAATATCTGTCTATTCCCCTAGAGTTTAACACCGTCTCAACCTGTACATCACCTCTTATAGCTCCCACACTTAAACAAGTAATTAGATAGGTCAAATATTATATTGCTAAGAGCTAAGTGCTGTTATACATTATAAAACTATATACATTGAAGGTCAGGTCAGGTCAGGTCAGGTCAGGTCAGGTACCCTTATCGTCTACACCACGAAATTATTAACCAAATCGTAACGTTGGGACGATAAGGACGAAACAACAGTACCTATCAACGTAATTTTGTCTCCAACTACTATACAGATCGTTAATGGCCCGGGATAGTAACCTTATCTTGTGTGTGTGTGTGTGTGTGTGTGTGTGTGTGTGTGTGTGTGTGTGTGTGTGTAAATCTACTTATGGGATAAATTTCTAAAATCAACTCGACTTAGGTATTGCGAGAGAGGAAACTGGATCAGTGTTTAGACTTGATAATAATTTAGATGTACTCTTACTACTACTACTTTTGTTCCTGCTACTACTACTACTACTGCTACTACTGCTACTACTACTACTTTTGTTAACTTATAATTCGAATAGTAATGAGGTTCTACTATCACGACTAGGCCTACTACTCCTCCTGTATTTACGACTACCAATAAAATCAATAATAAAACAAACACACACACACACACACACACACACACACACACACACACACACACACACACACAGTACGCAATTTACTACTTAAAAAATAAATATATACATTAAAAACGGAAGGAAAAACACCGCGCCATTGACAAGGAGGATGAGTAAACTGGCGACACTTGGCAACTGTATTGTGTTTACTCGAGATAATAAAAGCAGGAGGAACATTTACCAGAGAGTCAGTCTTCTTGGACCTTTAATCCCGCGAGGGTCTGTACGAGTGTTAGGGAACGTCGCGCCCCTCTCTCTCTCTCTTTGACGGGAGAGATTATACATGCTTCATCTTATGTATAATTCTCTATGTGTAATATGTTTTGTATGTATATGAATGATCTTAACCTATTTGTATGTATATATGAGATTATCTTTATATTGTATAGTAATGATGTCGAGGAGTTACTTAAAATAAAGACGTGTGTGTGTTTATATAAATATACCTACACTGTCTATGTACACAGTTTATACACCTACACTGTTTATGTACACTGTTTATATACCTACACTGTCTTTAACACATGAAGGTCCCGTATCCATCAATAGTTTCACAGTAAATAGGTTAATTAGCAACACACAGGTAAGCTATACTTCACACCTTTACTAATTAGCGGTGTTTATCAGGCAGGTGTATGTAGTTAAAAAGGTTCCTTCATTAATACAATTTTGTGACGTCATAATGTTTTGTTAACTGTTATATATAGCTTGTGTGTGTGTGTGTGTGTGTGTGTGTGTGTGTGTGTGTGTGTGTGTGTGTGTGTGTGTGGGTGTGTGTGTGTGTGTATAATATAATACTTGCAGGGATTAAAGTCTATTTAATAATATAATCTTTTCTCTAATGAACCAGATTTATTTATTTTTTTATAATTAGTTTACTCGGATTTAGAGAAAAAATATTTAGTAAAAAATAAACTGCGGAAAAATATACCACACCTAAATTATGCAAATCGGATGCAAACGGGACTTGGTTGGATTTTAATTAGTTATACACACACACATGCATACACACAAACACGTACACACATACATATAAACAAACATGTACACACACAAAACCACAAACACGTTAGTATAAACTTGCATGTGTGTGTGTGTGTGTGTGTGTGTGTGTGTGTGTGTGTGCCTTCACCTGCAACAGACCAGGACCACCCAGCCACATAATCCATACTTCCCCGATGCAAACTCCACCTCTCTCCCTCCCTCCACTATACCTGGTGGGGGGGGGGAGGCGATACTCTAAGCCCTCCACCGCCCTCCTCTTTCTCCCACGCTCTCTCTCTCTCTCTCTCCCTCTCTCGTACTCCAACTTTCCTCCACCCTTTTCTTTCTATTCCTTTCCTCTCTCTCTCCCACACAAGCACCCCCCCCTCTCTCTCTCTCTCTCCCACATCGAAACTTTCTCTATCTCTCTTTCTATACTTGTTACACACACACACACACACACACACACACACACACACACACACCAGATGCATCACATGTCCAATATTCATAACAATTGAGTTTGTGGTACGACGCTGTGGGGACACACACACACACACACACACACACACACTAGTATACACACACAAATATGCGGACGACTAATAATAACAATAATAAAAATAATAATAATAACAATAACATTAACAATAATAACAATAACATGAACAATAATAATAAGGATAATAATAATAATAATAATAATAATAATAATAATAATAATAATAATAATAATAATAATTTTTCCGTTGTTTGAGGTCAACTGAGGTCAACTGAACTTACGTCCTTGGGAGTAACAGGTCCACCAGGTTCATTACATCAAATATTTCTTCAACTCTTAACGTAATAAACTATTGGTGTAAATTATAAAACCTGTTCATAAGAGTGTGGTAGTGACACCCATCTTGACTATCCACTCAGGTGAGCCACTCAGGTGATCTACCCAGGTGCTCCACTCAGGTGAGCCACTCAGGTGATCTACCCAGGTGCTCCACTCAGGTGATCTACCCAGGTGATCTACCCAGGTGCTCCACTCAGGTGAGCCACTCAGGTGATCTACCCAGGTGCTCCACTCAGGTGATCTACCCAGGTGCTCCACTCAGGTGAGCCACTCAGGTGATCTACCCAGGTGCTCCACTCAGGTAGCTAATCTATTAAGTCATAACATCACTCTGAATATATCCTCTGTGATCCTATAATAACCTTGTTTGACATGGGATTTCAGATACGGAACGACACACACACACACACACACACACACACACACACACACACACACACACACACACCCACCCACCCCACCCCACACACACACCCACACACACGGACAGGTACAAATCAATATACACCCTCTTGACCTCCAACCTGCCGGTATACGCATTACTGAACACAAGAGATGGTTCTATTTTTTTAATGGAGACGATGCGGTATTATTTATCCCAGGTGCATCACTACCATAATAACTAACACACGGACACGCTAACCTCACCCCCACCACCACCGCCACAAACACACCACGTCACGGAACCATTACAACCAGCCGCGCCATAATACTGATCATACAAACACCACCTTGCACCACTATATCTTTACACGCACGCCATCTTTTTCTCTCACTGATGGGATGACCAAGGTGAGAGAGAGAGAGAGAGAGAGAGAGAGAGAGAGAGAGAGAGAGAGAGAGAGAGAGAGAGAGAGAGAGAGAGAGAGAGAGAGAGAGAGAGAGAGACCCCTACCACAATGCGGTCACCACAACACATCATTCGCTCAGCTGATGCTACAACACGCCCCCCCCCCCTCCACACACGTGCCCAACACACACATACTCTACTTACAAGACACAGACGTGTGCATAGGGCCCGGTGTACATCCCTGCTTACACACACGTGGGGGTGATGCGTCATGGTGGTGGCAGAATCAGTGCTGGTTGGGTAAGGTTAGGTTACGTTACACACTTACACCACCACAACAACCACACCACCACAACAACCACACCACCACAATAACCACACCACCACAACCACCACAACACCACTACACATCCACACAGATATAACAAGTGATCACGTCAAACACTCATAAACACGTTTCCTGCAATACCTAAGGGGCGCTGGCCGTGTGGATACAACTCTCGCCTCCTGCCTTGAGGGTCATTGGTTTGAGTCCGGGGTGCCCACAGTCCACCCAGATGTGAATGGGTGACTAATTTTACAGTTGGGTGATGAAGTACAGTGTTGGCTACAGCGTCTACTTGTGTACCGTACTGTATCCACGCTGCCTGTCTTGGATTCTACCTTTCAATATCTAATAAAAAACTGAAGGTGTAGGTGGTGTACCCAGGGGTCAGAGGGTCCGTCCGGCCCCTCAAAGATTCGTACGTGTATCGTTTTATCTTTACAGGAGATAAGAGAAACTACGTCTAGTTATCCTAAGTCTCAGTGCTATTTCGATTTGTACCTCTCGTTGACGTGAGGCTGTGTGAGGTGTCTTCACGTCTGTACTTGAGAGGAAACACTGATCTATAGGTCGCGTCTCTGGTACAGGAGAACCTCGTGTAATGACGGACACTTACGCAACACAAGACGGTGAGGCCGGGCGGGGAACTCACCCCCGCCATACTGCTCTCTCCTTACAGTATCGACTAGCGGCTGGGCGTGTGTAGTTACGCCCACCCCTTGGGGCGGGGTGAGGGTGGGCTTGCTACTGGCGTGTGGGGGTGGGGGGTCGTTACACCATTCCCGCGCCCACCGGTACACCAAGGCTGAGCTACCTGGCCGCCCTCAACCTTGACCCGTGACTTGAGGAGAGCCGGGCGGCCCTAGCGACTCACAGCGGCCGTTAAGACTCACTGACCCACGGGGACCTGCAAGTGACCAGGTGACCCACGGCGCCTTATCAGTGGTTCAGGTAAATCAACACCATTTTTGTCATACCCGGTAGATCCAGTGTGTGTGTGATGCGGGAGAAGTTACGATCACTACTGTTGAAGTGGTTTACCTACAGTATAAGGCTGCTCCTCCAACACAACACTCTTAACA